TAATAATAATAATAATAGGCACATAGCATTACATACGCAGTCAATCGCCCTGCAGCTTAATGTTATCTATATTTGTGGCATAAATCACATAGGTCATTTCTGATTCAAATGTGGATAATTCATTTCGAGAACTTTCCCGCCAGTAAAGTAAACCTGTAGCAGACCATTAACATTTAATTTACTAATGTGGCCTGCGAGCTTATTATGGCTTAAAGCAAGAACGCCAGAAGAACACAAAGAAGGAAGATTCCTTTCTTAACTCTCTTCACTTCTCTCTGGATTTCCACAGCGCAACACAGCGATCGATTGGCTGTCCATGATCTACATGTTGGCGTACATACCCATCATCTTCCCGGCCACCTGGCTTCTGGACAAACGAGGGCTGAGAACGTGCTGCATCTGCGGGTCTTTGCTCAACGCTGTCGGCGCCTGGCTCAAATGTGCCAGCGTCGCAGAAGATAGGTCTGTGAAAATATTACGGTTGATTGGTAGTTTGTTTTCTTGTATATCCACATCCGCCCATGCAGGTGTGTGTGTGGGGGCGGGGGGCGGGTATAGTTTTACCATAGGGGAGCAAAGAATACACCTGTCGTGATACTGCGTGTCGTAAGATGCGACTGAAGGTGCAAAGGTCTGGTCTCCCGAAAAGTACCAGTTTGCGGAGAGCCAACTATCCGACCCAGTAAAAAAAACCGTCAGTTACAGAAACACAGACAAACACAACTTTTTATTTTTCGATCTTGGGAGATGGAGGAGCTTCTGCATCAGCAGGAACAAAGAAGGACAGCGGACAACGCCAAAAGGACTCTTCTGACCCGAAACCTTCTCTGTCGAACAAGTCTCTCCGGATTGCATCGTGGAATGTTCGCACCTTGTATGAAGCAGGAAAGAGTTCTCAAGTAGTATTACGGGGAAGACCGCGCGGAACCTGGAGAAGAATATCAGAAATCGATGTACAGAAAAGTGGGAAGATATGGAATAACATCATGAGGCTAGCCCAGGATAGAGAAAGGTGGAAAGTGTTTGTCCGTGGCCTATACCCTGGTGCAGAGTGAGATGATGATGATATCCACATCGGCATATTGTGGATACGTTGGCAGATAGGATTCCTCTTAGAGGGTCTGAGTGAGATGTAGAATCGAAGCAGAAAGGCTGGAATACTCGATGAATATAACAAATTACCACCCACACCTACCCAAAACACACACACACGCGCGCGCACACACAC